CAACTTGGTATATTGTTAAATTATCCACTTTTGGTTGTATGCAATTTGAGAGACAGAGGCGCATTAATATTAAAAATAAGAATAACAAAAAAAATTAAATGTAAACAACACGATTACCTGGTGTGACTTACATGACATTTGTAACTTTTTCTGTTTACTTTCAAAACTTTGTCGTTCATCTGTTTGTTTTATCGTAAATTTCTTAACGTTAGTATTGTCAAATTGATTGTGTCTTGCTCATTTTTATGATCACTTTTAATGCAACAAAAAACAATGCAATCCACTTAAATTTTTCAAATTTGAAAATGTTATTCTAATAAAAATTTTTTTGATTTAGTTTAAAACAAAAAAATTTGATTTTTATAATTTAGGTTTTATTATTAGCATTATAAACGTACATTAAATTCGATAATTTAATTCACAAATGTACCACATTTTAGGCTTAGCAATTCTTTTAAAAAACTGCATATTAGTTTAATTAATTAATTTTTCACTAAAAAAAAATGTTTCACTTATAAAAATAATCATGGTCGAATTTGATTTTGGTGCATAATACCTAATTAAATCTTAATCGCAGCTAACGATAAGTCCAAAATTAAAAGACCAGATTCTTTCTTCAAAAGTGCCTAAATATAAAATAATTGTGATAAAATTTTTATACCGGTAGATAATCAGTATACTAGGTCACAATTAAGAATTCATAAGAAATAAATGCGTTATTTATAGATTCATAAAAACATCCCGTAAAATAAATTGTAAACAGTTTTTCCTGGATAGGGAACAATTTATAGTTGCTTAGAATTTGAACAAAATAAATTTAAATAATTTCCAATTGCATTGCATAAAATTAGGATGAATACGTAAGGGCACCAAAATTTTGAATTTCGAGTAGGAAAGCGTAAATACACTATCGATTTACATTTTTTTGCATCCTGAGAAATAATCAATCAGTTTTCTTAAATTTAATATTAAGTTTGATACCGCAACTAATTGACAAATTTTTCGGAAATTCGGAAGTTCAATAATTATAAAAAGCAAATTTCTTCAAAAGAATATTATTTTTTATGCCTGCAATTAATGGTAAACTATACCTAAAAATAATGAAGATTTTAATTTTTCCTGGTTAATTCTAACGTTTCTATTCTAAGTTTTAATTGAAAATTAAAGCATGCCAATTGACCTAATCTTTAATTTGATTGATGATTACACAAAATTTAATAGAAAAATCAGTTATCAGATTTTAAAACACTCTGTACATTAACTTGCAAAAAAAAAAAATTTCAAGAATTATTTTTTTCTAAATATAGCCATATATGTACATATTCGGCCTCCCGCTGAGCAACAAGTTAATATTAATTATGTTAATTATTAATCAATGTAAAATAATAGCTTTCAACTTAAGATATGTATATATAGCTATACGAATACATATGTACATTGAAATTAAATAATAATTACATTTGACATCTTTACGAACATGAAACTTAATTGTTAAACAAATAATGCTAATTTAGTATAATTAAACACGCACGCTAGCAAATATACCTCAGTTTTTTTTTTTGCTTCTTCTTCCTCAAAATTTTTAATTATGCATTTAATTCAGAAAATTACAAGTGTAATTAATAATCAAATGCAAATATATTCTTTGTGTTTCTTTTAAACAAAGTTTTAATAAGCCGGTGTAACAATTCAGCGCGATCTGAAATATTTAATTTAAGCACATGTTTTTTACAGAAAAAAATTTGAATTGTTAGAAAATTCTTGTAAAAATATAAAATTAATTTCGCATAATTAAAATAAATTTGAACAAAATTTTCGAATGTGATGTATTTTTTTTACAATAATTATTAAATAGGCACAAAAAATTTGCAGAGTTCATCCAAATATCTATGAATTTCTATGATATCAGACTTAAGAATTTTGCGATTGAAATTAATTTTTATACACCATCACAATTATAATGGTAGCCTCAACCCACATTATACAATTAATATATGAAACTAATAATATTTAATAATTATAGGAAATTAATTACTCAACAGGTGTCTCTATAAAATTATTAATCATTTATTACTTATACAAAGTTCTAAAAAACCTACTCGTTCCATTAATTTTATTGTTCTGCTAAAGCCGCTATATAGCTTCTCCTTATAATTTTTTCTTATTAGTTACAAACTTAGTTGCTATTTAGTGGAATAATTAAGTAACACTATTTATCGGAGTTAAATATGTATTATTGAAATAAATATTAAAAGTTGTCAAATCGCATAATTCCTATCTGAATGTAAACTACACAAATATTATTATTCACTTTCAATAATTCTAATAGAGCAATAAAATGAAATCTACAGCTATCTTAACTAATCATGGGTTAAGCTAGAAAAAACAATGCTAATTGCTATATAGAACATTTTAAGGTCATAATGAAAATAAATGTATATGAGTTGTTTTATTATTTATTGAAACATTTATATTAATGCCTCAAATTATTAGGGATATACTCTAAGCTTTTTAACACACAAAAGAAACCCTGCAGAAATGTAATAAACTCTGCTTATTTGTAAATACACTCAAAAAAAACCAATACTAAAATATTTCAAGATGTTTTGTCAAAAATCCAGAAAAATATATTTTTATTCGGAAAAGCTCTGACTTAGAGCCTTACTATGTAATTCGATTTTCATGAAACGTATTTGCAGAAATAGAAAAGTAGTTCTATATACAAAGTGATTGGCACTGCCTTATAATTTTTCCGAATACGATAATCGTATTACATATAGTAAGATCCTTGATTTATAATTTACTTCTAAAATAGTTTACTCTTAGGCGAGTAAACAGAGAACTATTTTTTGCATATTTTCAAAAACTCATTCTATATTATTAAACGTTAAACAAATTTATCATACCTTTCCGAAAATATAATGTGTGTCATGCTATCATTATGACATTTACACAAATGTACAAATTTTCAATACAAACATAAAAATATAAACAATTTATTAAATCATAATTTTATTTAATGACTTTGATAATAAATGAATTTGATTTACGGAAGACTTAAAATGAGATTCACAAAGAAAAAGCGATTTAACAATTTAGCGACAATGTTGTATTTTTTTCTTTCTTTTGACGACGACGACGACAACGATGATTGTATCGGTTTGTTTTTAGTGGTATAAAGCCGAGCCAAGCCCAAAATTTATTTTTTTAATTTTTTTTATTATAATTTAATATTTTCTCTTTATTTTTTTTTAATTTTGAAATATTTGAACGACTAATTCATACCGAAATATTTTTGTTTGTACACTTAATTTTGAACCAAAATTAACTTACTGCATTACATTTTCAATAAAGTTGTTTTAGAGTGTGTAAAACTCAAATTTATTTTAAGAATTATAAAGGAAACAAATATTTTTAGATATCTGAAAACGAAAACTATAGCATTATTTTAAGATGATTTCGATTTGAAGAATGACCATGGCAAGAAATAAAATATTTGCTTTGTTAATGGTTTGAAAACGTCCCGTAAATGAATTTGTAAACGGTTATCATTCTTTTCTGGGCAGGGAACAAATCTATAAATATTTAGAATTTGATTAAACTGAAGTAATTTCAATAATTGCTATCCACTTAAAACTTTAGTCACGCGCTGCAGCCCCATTCCTTCTAATATAAAGTGTTTTCTAAATTACATAGAAGATTTATTACAGTTATTGTAAATATTTTTATTTATTCAAAAAAAGGCCCACAAACATAAAACTCAAGTTGTGGCTTAAAAAAATCGTGAGATTTTCCCAATAAAAACAACATGTAATCTCATTATTATTGAAATAAAAAAAAAAAATTATTCACTCATTTTGATAAATAACATGTTGCCAGATAAGAAAATTTTAGTCAAAATTTGTAATCACTTTTAAGAATTTGTTTTTACAGTTCTACCCGACAAATTTTAACAAAAATTCAAAATAAGTATTTTTCTTTTTTTGGATGAATACAAAATTTCAATCATTTCATCCAAAAAAAAAAAAAAAAAATGGGAAACAACAAAAATAAATCTGCTGTGATCACCACATAACCGACCGCAATGTGTATTTTCTGGTTTAGCCAAAGTATTACATAAGATTATAAAAATGACTTTGAAACACTTCTTTCTAAATTTAAGAAAGTTAGTATGCTTTTCTTTAACATGTCCAGAAAAATGCAAATTTACCTTTTATACAAATTAGTTTGACTTTGAGCCATTCGAATTCCATGATGAATACAAAAATCGCCATATGATTTCAGAATCAAGTGCAGCTCAAATATTGAATTTTAAGAAATTCCATCAACTATTTCCGTAGATTGCTAAAATATATAAGAGCGGCCCCTCGGTTTGAGAATTAAGGTCTTTCCAAAAAACTTATAGGTTCATTGTTTTAAGGCCCCGAATTTAAATATTAAATATCAAGGAAATTGGTTGATTATTTCTCTTTATATGCACAAATATACAAAATCGGCCCGCAGTTCGGTCTACATTCTGAGACCTTATATATTCCAAAAAAAGATCAATTTCTGACATAGCCAAAATAAGCTCATACAAAAAATTACATCAAAATCGGTTCAGTCGAGCTTAACATTCATGCGTGCACCGACAGACAGATGGATAAACAGACCGACATTTCTCCAAAAATGGTTTAGTTACGTTCTTTACTATTGAGTGCGATCCCATCAAAAACTCGACATGCGTAATTTGGTGCCATCCCGTAACCTTCCTTATTGTATGCAATCCGGTCTGTAAAAATTCATCAAAATTCCATCCATCCATTTGTAAAAAAAAAGTTAAAAAGAGGAAAACAAAAATGGAAATGCATGTTTTTTTTCTCTTTTCCATTTTTTTTTTTAATTTATAACCTAAAAATAAAAATATTTTATTTTCCTTTTTTGACATTTAATTCAGCATTTTATTTTCACCTTAACTCAATTTTTTTTATTCACAATTATCTTATTATATCTTATTACAGGTTACTCACGTTTATGAAAATCAAACGAATCGTATACCTGAAAAAGAAGAAGATCGCTATCACCTGGAATGCTATTATAAGGGACGAGTTAAAGATGATGAAAAAAGTGTTGTTGCTGTCTCTTTGTGCAATGGAATGGTAAGCTTTACATTTTTTTTTACCGTTTTCCTTTTTTTTTTGTTTTAATTTTTTGTTAGTTTTTGACAGTGACTTTGACATTTATTTGAATGAAATGGAATTTATCCACCTGCGTGAGATTTATCGAAATGATCTTTCGCATATTAATCATATAAAATACTTACATATACAAAATATGTATTAAGGTATATATGTGCATCAACGTCTACGGAAAACAAAGTATTATTGCATTCCATGATCATATCACCTGATCGGTATCAATTTATTGTGAATTCGTAATGTCTGCTAGGGAGTACAAGACGAGGGGTTACAAATCTAAAATGGGAAATACGTAGGTTTATAAAATTTGAAAACGACGATTTGTTCTCAGAGTGGAATTGCGAGGAGGAATTCCAGTTGAGGAGACTAGTTTCTTTGCCTAATTCATCTTTCTGAAGAACAGTTGCATGAAGAAATATTCTGCTTTTAATTATTTTATTCCGTGAAATAAGGGTCCAAACGGCAACGGCTTAAATGTTACTTTAAACCGAAAATTTAAAAATCAATATGAGTATTAATCATATATTGTGCTGTTGAATCCTAAAATTATGCAAAGTCCAAAAGAAATTACAAAATTTTTTACTATGAGTCAAAAAAAATTTAAAACGTAGAATTGAAAGTTACTTACGTCAAAATCAACCTTTTTTTGATTACAAAGTCATTCCGACATCGAAATTACAGTTACAGAGTAGCGCTACAAAGTGTTCAGCGTCACTGTATTTTAGATTTTAGGTTTAATTTCCGTTTAAATCATTTAAATTCGTATTCGTGGACAATATTGACTAAATCCCTCTGTATACAGGCTATCAGCTTTGATACACGTTATGTATGAATGAATTTCTTTTTTTTTTTTGTTCTGTAATAAACGTAAGGCAAACTGAGTAGATTTATAGAATACTAATTTATTTATTTAAAACACAAAAAAAAATTTGAAATGTGACCTAAATCAGAAAACGGACACGATTATTAGCATTAACAAACAAAAGAATTGACTTGTGGATTTATCATCTATTCTTATCATGCCACTAATGACAGCTTAAGCATATTCTTAAGAAAACCATGAATAAATTCACATTTACAAAGTATATAAAATGTGAATTTATGGACGAGTATGTATAGCTATACTAACATAATCGTATATTGAAGACTATTTAAAACTGTCAAAAAAGTTTCAAAGACAATAATAAGATAAGCCGGAAAGATTTGAAAGATGCCGAATTATTTTGAGAATTTTTTTTTTTCTAAAATGAACGAGATAAGAGAAAACATTAAATTGACTGAATTGACTAATTTATTTTTAAGGATTTGTTATATACAATTATAAAATTCCAAAGAAAATATTAGCAACGTAACTGAACTGCAAAGGTAAACACTTTTTAAATATTTAAAAGTCATTTACTACGAAAAAATCATGATTCAATGTTGTTTTGTAAGATCCAACGCTCAATATAATAATTTGTGAATTGCAGTAAGATTTATCATAATTTTGTTTCAATATTTCTCACATCATATTATCAGTTAGGTGAAAACATGCCCTTAACTAAGTCACTGGAAATTTTATAATAAATCAAATTCTAGGAAAATTTCAAATGTATTATAATATTTTGGGTTATGCCCATTATGGCTGTCTTTACCATATGAAAATATCATTATGTAATTACAAAATTTTTTTATCGAAATACACTTAAAAACTATTCAACTCCAGAGCTGCCAGAGTAGTGTTAAAAATGAGAAGTAAAATGTTTTTATTAAAGAAGAGCTAAATAGCACTAAAATTCATTAATTTTAAGTAAAAATCGCTCATAGGTTAAGTTTTGTTTTATCGTCATAAATTAGAGTCATTTCCTTAATGACTCTTTTGTAGTCTTACCGTTTTTATGCCAAGTATAAAAATTAACATGGAAGGAGGCATATAAAATCATTGGAAAAATTGCCGTCGTTTGAACGTATCCCAAAATCTATTTCAATTCAGCAAAATATAAAATTTAGTACAATAAAATGACATGAATTTTTCAATACCTTCCGTATGGTGCGCATCATAGCATATTGCACCCATTGCGTTTACGACGTGGTATTTTTATTTAATTGTTTTACTTTGAATTTTTACAGAATATTGACAAATGACAATAATTAGACATTTAATAGTTGACTAATAGGTAATAACAATTTATTTGACATTTACAACATTCGATTCGATATCCATGAATAGTTTAAAAAGAAATATAAAATGATTCAATGTTTGGCAACTGTGCACTCATCTCAAGAGTTGATGTAGTAATTTTCCCTAAAAATGCAATATTTTCAGCCATATTTCGAACACTTTGCACCGACTAAACAAATAAATATTAATTCAAACAAAAAAAAAAACCCACGAAATTCAAAAAATGTCGATGTTAATAATTTAAATAAGCCCTATTGAAATGAGGGATCAAATAGAATTAGAAAAGTTAAAGAACTATTAAATTTTTATTCAAAAACAAAAGTAGAATTAGAAACGAATATAAAAAAATGTTTTATTTTTTGTTTTTATTTTTTATATCAAATAATAAGGCGCCAGAATAATTGTTAAAAAATAAAAACAAAAGAAATCCAGATTAAAATTAAAATTCTATTCTTACAGTTGAATAAACTTTTGTTATATACAATTTAGCCCTATTCTCCTATATGTACAATTTTAGATTTATTTGTTTTTCTTTTCTAGACGACCTTTTTTTAGATCATTAAAATCTAATGTCATTTTAAAGGCATGTGACATAATAATCTGCTAATGGGATAAAGATGTCAAATTCAATTTATTTAATAAGTTGACCTTGAGCATTTTATTTGTAAATATATAGGTTTTTGTGACATTTTGGAAAATATTAATGTACCTACATATGTACATACATACATAATTTTTTCTATTTATAGGAGTTGGATTAAAAACGATTGGGATGCCAAGAGAAAAAAATAGTTTTATACGGTAATATTTAAAGAATTTTTAACATAAATCAGAAATCGTCGATTGGAAACCTATAAGATATAAAGCGTGTAAAAATAATTTTGAAAGAAAATGTTGCCGTTGTGCACGTTTCTAATTTTAGATAACAATTAAATTCTTAAATTTTTGTTTATTTGAGCAACTTTTTTCAATTTTAATATACAGGCACTGATTACTGAATCATCTTGTATTGTATGAAGGCATAACTATGAATAGCTCGCAAAAAGTTTAGCGAATTAAATTAAAAAGAAGTTCGATCACATGGTCCGCTCCTTAGTTTCAATATACAAAGTAAACTTAATAACCAAACTAATTTACTTTAGCCACACTACATTTAAATTTTGAACACAATATTGAGTTTTAACATTTGAAAGTCTCCATAGTCTATATGCTAATAACACAAAATTTTAATAAAAATTATTCCAAATTTAATTGCACATTAATAACCATGCTATAATTAAAAAAAAATTCTATTAAAATTTATTTTGAATTTTCGAAAATAAAGTAAATTAGTCATGCTCATTGGAATTTTATATGTATAATAAAAATCAAAGAATAAAATTTTTGCTAAATTAAAGTTTTTCAAGGCAATTTACTGAACTTTATGATTTTATATTCATTAAATTTTTTGCTAAATTTTAAATTGTTTCATATTTTTTCATAATTAATATTAAAAAAAAGCAACAAAGTTTCGATTTTTATTTTACTTAAATTGAATATAATTAAATATTTTGAAGATTTTCATTCAAGTTTATAATGTTTTAATCATTTTAAATATTATGGCATTCCCAAATGCGAAAAAAACTTAAGAAAATACAGTAGTAATTTAATTAGAAAATAAAACAATGAGTAAAAAATTTTAGTGTAGACTCAACTTCGATTCGAATTTGCTCGTAAATAAAGGAGGTTTTGGTTTATGCACGCTGCGCTGAAAATTCTACATTAAAACTAAAATTTCCAAGCCGCTGCGTTAAACAGTACGCAAAAACTTTAGTTAAGTTTTTTTTGTTCACACAGTCTACAATTTCTGAAACTTCTAAATCAGTTGTTCGAAAATAACAGAAATGATATTGTTTATGAAATTGTATAACAATACCTTTCGCCTTCATTGCAAAATAAGGAAATTTTAATAAGATTTGAAAACTTAAAGAAAACTTACTTTAATAACCCTGCGATATCTGAATCTGTCATTTTGAAACTTAAATTTGTTTTTGAATTTTGAATTTAAAAAAAAAAAAGAAATTTCATGAGGCAGCGACAAAATTTATACTAGAGGCTTGCGCTACATTTCTAACATTTCTTTATTGCAGATTGAATTTCCGAACGAACTTTATTGCTGCCAGTAATTTCCGAACGATCTATATTTTCAGTGTATGTAGCGTGAATTTTCGAACGTACTATGCAAGCTAGAACTATTCTTTAACTGAAAAAACGAAACGCCCAAAAATTTATATTGCTGAATAAGTTGATAACTTCTATCAATTCAAAGACAACAAATTTAAATTTTCAACTGTCAAATTGAAATTTTGCAAACTTTATTAAAACTAAACATTCTTCAAGTATACCAAAAGTATATTTTACAATCAACAGTTATTGCATACTTTTCGGATGAGAACAAAAATTAAAAGGACTACGTATTAAATAATCGGGAATTCGACAGTCTTAACGTTTTATTGATAATAAAATTAATAATTTTTTTCTGTCTTTCGTTTTAGTCTTTAATTTTATTAATCCTCTTATTGCCTGTGATAATACTTTAAAAAAAAATATCTAATAGAAAAAAAATAAAATATGAAAATTTAAATGTTTTTTTTTAACTATTTAAAATCTTGAACTAATTTTTGCTAATCCCCAATGGGCCACAACTAATAAATAAACGCTGTATAGTAATATTATGACGCCAACTCTTCTTCTAATTATTCATCATAATAATCCACGAGGCAAATATTGTGAAAAATTCTATTTTTAATTTAATTAATAA